CCTGGGATGGAGCCCCGCATCGGGCTCCCTGCTCGGCGGGAGGCCTGCTTCTCCCTCTCCCACTCCCCCTGCTTGTGTTCCCTCTCTCGCTGTGTCTCTCTCTGTCAAATAAAAAAAAAAAAACAACTAAAAAAAATGACATAATATAGAGTATCTGGGACATGGCAGGTGCTCAATATGTTTTTTTCCTATTTTTTAACATTATCAATTTTTCACATTTACAAAACAATTGTGAATTTAAGCACAATATTTCCAAAATATAATGAAATAAAATAAATATATCACTTTTTGTAAGGCATAGCCAAATGTTCTACATCACCAAAAAAAAAAAAAAGTTTCGGCCCTCTGATTCATCTCTATGAGAAAATGTCTTTTATTAATAATAATGGTTATGACTAATTCTCAGGCATATGAAGTAAATCTGTTTAATCCAGCCTGCCAGTTAAACTACTTCTATTTCTAACTCTAAGTATAAATACTCATGTTTAGAAAAAAAATAAAAGAAAGGAAGAAAGACTAAACATCATCTAAGTCCTCCTTCAAATTATTCTAAGAAATTAGTGCCAAAAGAGTTCTAAAAGATTCTCCTGTCAGGTAGGAAAATAAGAAAATGCTATTCATATATTGCTGGTTTATAATCATCATAGATCTAAAATTTGGCTCAGAATCCAGGTCAATGTAAAAAGAAATGACTTAAGAACATCAAAAATACAGGTGCAGCTACAATTCAATTACATATTTGCCCCTTTTGGTAGGGCGTGTCTTTGTTCTCACAGCTGGGAGGGTTGTACTTTACATTTTCAACAAAGAAAGCCACCACATTAAAGAACTCTAGAATTTCCTATAACCAAAACTGTAGCAATAACTGTGCAATCTTTACTTGCCTTTCATAAAGATATTATGTGCTTTAATCTCCTGTTCATCTGTACCCAACACATTTGGCAAAGTACATTAAAAACAGAAATGAAAACAATTATTTGAAAACAAAGCTTAGAAAAGAAGAATCATATAAAATATCTAATAACCAATATCTCTTAAGAGTCTACTTTCAGTTTGGGGGGACAAAAAGAACTGGAAAAAACATCAGACATTCTGTTTCTGTTTGAAATTTTTGTTTTAATTACTCAATTTTAGTCTCGCCTAAAGGAAAACAAAAACAAAAACAATATGATCTAAATAAGAACAGTAATTTTGAACCCAAACTGCTGATTTTAATCTATTCATCTCCCTGTCTGTATAATTTTTTTTTTTTTACCTCTAGTGTTTTATCAGTTTAACAGCCATAATTTATCCAAAACACACAGATGGTCTTAGAAATAGTAAAAGTTTCAGATGTTACAACTTCCTAGCATATGGAACATTATCGTGGATCATCATTTTGGCAGCATTTAAATGATTTTAAAATTATTTATACGTTAACATCTTGGCATTTTTTCATAGTCATAGGTTATTGCAACTTTAAATTGTTTGATTCCTGATTGCAGGTGGTTCTTATATTGACTCTAACCTACTAATGTGTAGGAGAAACGGTGCCCTGTATTCATGGGATAGCAGCCTCTGGGCAGCAAAGGATATATGAAGACCCAATAATAAATTAAACATTATGGCATAAACCATGACATCTCTTCAAATTCAATATTTGATACAATAGGAAGTTCTGAGATTTATAAAAAATCAAATTTACCATAGCATTTTTAAACTGTGAATATCACAGAAAATGCACGGATACACATGTATTTAAGAGTACGTCTGACCTTTCAAAATGTGAGACTACAATCACCTTTATTTTGTATTTTCTATATTAGATACAACATGAAAAGAATTGTTCATACTCTGTCTGATTTCAATCTTTCCAAACTCTCCTGAACCAGGTCAGTGAGGTTTCAACCCCTCTATTCCACGGACAATGCTCTTCTGAAGGTCATCAATGAATGACCACCAACTTGTTCAATTCAATGGTCACTTCTCAGTCCTTCTATTATGTGATGAACCAGCTGCAACTGACTCAGTCTTTGCCACCTCCTTAAAACACTGTCTTTGCTTGGCTGCCCTCTGCTTTCCCTCCTTTCTCACTCCTCACTCCCAGTCTCCACTGCTCTTTCTGCCTCTTCTCCCTGAGGGTTAAACATTGGACCTCTTTTCCTTTCTACATATAATCACTCCCTTGGTGATTTCAGTCTCCTGTTTTTAAATAATATGGACATGATGATGATTCCCATATTCATCAGGATAAGCTACATTAGTCTGTGGTAAGAAATGCTCCGTGACTCAGTACAACAAAGATTGCTCACTCATTCAATGTGTCCATCATGGAAAGACAGAAGTGTAGGGTGGAAAGTTTTGGTACCCATAACTTAGGGACCCAGGTTCTTTGAGTGTCCATATTGTAGCTGCACTACTTGGAACACGTGTCCTCGTTTGCCACATGGCAAAGAAAGAAAGTGCTGGAGGCCCACTCTCTAGTATTTAATTTATTTAATTTCCACTCACAGCCCATGAAGCTGAACCAGTCAAATTGGTCTGCCCAACAGCAAGGAAACTGGGAAGCAGAGTCTTTCATCTGCCCAGAAGGAAGGGAGGATTGCATAGTAATGAGTACTTGCTATGTCTACCACAACTCATTTTTTTCTGCAGGCTCAACCTCAACTCTGAATTTCTGATTCATGTTTCCAACTGCCTATTTGACATTTATACTTGGATATCTAATAAGAATTTCAAAATTACAATGTCCAAAACTGAGCTGCTGATACTTCCAACCCCAAATCCTCTCTTTCTGCAATTAATGGCATCTCAATATTTTCAATTGCACAGACCAATCAATTAAGGTAAGCCTTGACTCTTCTCTTTATTTATAAGCCACATCCAATCTGTTAGCAAATTCTGTTGGCTATTGCTTCACAGCAGCTTCAGGCTTTAACCACTCCTCACTAGTTCCCCTCCTAGCACACTGATCCAAACCACCATTCCATCTTGCCTAGATTATTGCAAAAGCTCCCAACTAGTCTCTCTTCTTAATCATTATTATCCTTCAGTGTGTTCTCAACACAGCAGAGGATTCTGCTGAGAAACCTCTGATGTTTTCCACCTCACTCAAGGGGAAAAGCTAAACTATTCACAAGATCTATAAGGTCTCATAGTTAAAAAAATAAATGAATATATATATATTCCTACAGTCTGGCTACTTATTCCCCCAATATTATCTCCTACTAATCTCCCCTTTGCTCAACCCCCCGGCCACTTTGCTCTTTTAAAAAAATGTGTTAGGTAGGCCCCATGTCAGGGTCTTTAAACTTACTGCTTTATCTGCTTATTTTTCCAGTTATTTGTGTAGTTTCCTCCTTCAATTTTTTCAGGTCTTTATGGGAAGCATTCTCTGGTCATCCTATTTAAACCTGAAATACTATCCCTATCTTAATCTGTCTACCCCTTTAGTATTTTTTATAGGACTGATTATAGTCTAGCATATTGTATATTATACTATCTATTTTGGTTTTACCTGTTTACTCACAGAATATAAACTTCAGAAGGGCACTCACTAATTTCTGCTTAATGCTGCACCTCCAATGTTGAGAATTTTAGCATTAATTTGTATTAAACACAAATAGGTAATTAATCAGGAAAGATCTGAAGGAGGAAATGGGTAATAATGGTTTCAATGTGTTTGAATCACTCAGGCAGGGAAATGGAAATTACAGATAGTGGTCAGTAGATGACTTAAAATATGTTTTTAAGGCAAAGATATTATCTTAATTGTACATAAATCTAAAAGGAATCTGTCATCACCAATAAGAGAAGCATTTGTTCCTATAGTCTCTGTCCCCTGTGCTCTCTACTTCGCTTCCCCAAACCAGTGTTTCCCATACAGTTCACTTTGCCATGTGACTTTCCAGCACCTCTTAAAAGTACAGCCAGGTTATTCTCACCCCAGTTGCTAGAATTATAAAAACCCTTTGAGAGACTCATTCTTATTCAGATCAGTGCAGAAAAAATGCTTGATTTTTTTTCTTCAAGTTCCCTAAAACCCATCTACCATAAGCTTCTCGATTTTATTTTTCCCTATTTAATTCTCATGCTAATCTGATAACTGGTTGTTCAGAAATAGTGCAAACATTTATTAGGGTTATGTAGTCTGTGTTACAACTTTGTTCTTCTACATGTTTAGCAGTGACTTTTCCTTAAACACATATTCTCCTGAGTACCTTTAAGTCTTGGTCAATGAATTCATAATGGACACAGAGTATGAGCAAAACAAAGAAATTTATAAAGGGCAATATTGTCCAATCATAGAATCAATGAAAGTTCAGTTATTTTGGTACATCAGTCAATACCTTACAAGACAGAAAAAGCAAAGAGAAGGCAAAGAAGTCATATGGAATCACTGATGTCAAGAAGAAAAATTCATCCTTACTCCAGATAGCATATTTCTCTACTTGTATACAGCAGGAATTTGAAATCTAATAATCTAGTCATGTGATTTTATTTTGGAATGAGATAAATCCAACATTAACCATCATTCAGAATGAAATTTCAGTTTTCAGGAATATTAAATTCTACAGAACACAAAAGCCATTTGAAAAGGAGAAAGAGATTAAAAAAAAACAAAACAAAAACAAATGTTGAAGTGACTTGGGAGGCCTTTGGAAACATAACCATATTACCGAATTTTTAACATTTTTTACTGTAGCATATGGACATGTGATGTGCCCTGAATTATAATAACAACTAAATCATACATGGAAGTGTTAAGTCTAAGACATTAAAGTAGAAATTAAAGTTTTCTCTTCTAATCTCCAAATTAAGCAACATGCATTTTCCTCACTCATTTTCATGTCAATGCAGGGAAAATGGAAAGATGTTTATTTTAAAAGAAGAAATGAAAATGGGAGATAATGTAACCCTTTATTAAAAAAAAAAAACCTACTTCACTTTTCTCTTTTCTTTGGTGAAGATATATACCATTAGATCTGTAAATGCTCCCCACTGCTGAATTAAATACTCACAGTTATTCTTTCATCTTTGTCATCCAGTGGAGAGCCATCTTTCTTCCAGGAAATGGTGGGTTCGGGATGGCCTCGTGGAGGTTGGCATTCCATCACAGCAGGCTCCCCCACGGCCACCATGACATCAGAAGGATTTTGTCTGAAGTCATCCCGTAGGACTGCAGGAACAAGATGACATCATTATACTCAATTGTGGTATATACAGTCCTAATCTCTGAACTACAGTCAGAGATGTTTATTAATAATAAACTAGTAGTAATAGCCATCCCAGTATACCCTGGAAGATCTATATCTACTTAAGAGACATATGTAACTTGATAAAGATATCTGGCCTTAAGCATACACAACAGGGATAATTTGATATTCTCTATGGGCCAGTGGACAAGTGTATTTTACTATTTCGTGCCCTCACAGTTAGCATTTGGCATTTCTTCCCTGCCTACTGCCCACATTTTCCCATCCATGTGCTAATGAATAAAACTGAACCCTCCTTTGACTTACATGACACACTGGGATGATGTTTTCTATTATTAAGTGAATTACATACACGTACAAACCAAAATAGACTTCCAAACATGCATTCAATTGAGAGTTATTTTAAAGATATTTCATACTAGTGTATAAAAGCATAAAATCATTACAATTTAAATATGCTTACTATAGAAATTTTAGATATATTTGCAAAACGACTGTGTTCAAAATACTGTGTTTTTCCATTATCACTGAGTGAAGCAAACATTAGAAGGAGCCAAGGATGAGAACAGCACTGTTACCAAATAGGTCACTTTGTAACTTTTGTATTTTTGTTTTTAGTTATTTTATGGTAAATATTATTTCACTGAATCCTTAAACCTATTCAGGGTGAGAGATTCTATTAACCCTATTTATGTTATTAACCCTGTATTTTAGAGGAGGAAAAGTTTATTACAATGACCTCAACTTGATACCAATGTAATATTAACATACTATAAAACAAGCAGTATCATTCACTTTGTAACTATTGGAATAAAATGTGGAAAATAAACAACATCTGTATTTCAAAAGCAGTCCATACAGCGAAATTGTCCTCTGTCTCTGGTAAACATCAAGAAATCATGAATTCTTGGGCGCCTGGGTGGCTCAGTTGGTTCAGTGACTGCCTTCGGCTCAGGTCATGATCCTGGAGTCCCTGGATCGAGTCCCGCATCAGGCTCCCTGCTCGGCAGGGAGCCTGCTTCTGCCTCTGACCCTCCCCCCTCTCATGTGCTCTCTTTTTCTCATTCTGTCTCAAATAAATAAATAAAATCTTTAAAAAAAAAAAAGAAATCATGAATTCTTCAGCATCAGTTAGTCTTAAATCACAACTCCTTTGTTTACTTGAACATAACCTCTCTTTCCCCATTTACAAATCAGGCATGGAGATGCATACTTCACTACAAAACCGAAAAATATTATTTCTCCCACTCCATTTTCTCCCCGTGTGTAATAAAATGTGAACAACTTTTGTAATCTTATTTAAGATGGTACTTAAAATGTTCATTGGTATATTATGTGCACAAATTTGAAGTGATAAATGTTATTTACCTTTTGAAATCTATTGAACTGAACGTTTGGTACAACAATTTTGTACTGAAATGGGTGTCTCTCTAGTCCAATGACACTGAAAAATACTTTCATGGATGAAGTACTACACTGTAGAAAACTTATGCTCAAACTATTATTTCAAAAGAAACGCTTAAGTTTTGGTTTCAGAACCTCAAACAAACTTACAGGCTTACAAAATCCTGTATTTTTCTCTTCTAATTCTCTACTTTTCCTTCCCCTCTACCAGCTAAGTATGTGCACACATCTGCGTAAGCTTTAACATCCACTCAAACAAAACCGTTTTTTAATCTGCATATTGAGACAATTTGGGCACAACATGACTATGTTAACACTTGGAAGATAAGACTTCGAAGAGGAGACTTGGTCCTCTTAGGCAAGAATGGTAAAAGGAAAAAGAAAAGTCAATATAATCACACCACACTATCATAATTCTAATTTTAATACTGTACACTATTTATTAATAAAATACATAGACACAAAAGTAAACCTTGTTGAACTGAAAACTCCAGCTACTGTTACCACAAAGTAAAACAACAGGCTTTGAAGACTTTTGCTATTTATAAAATTACATTATAATTAGGTATTAAGAATGTACTACAAATAAAACATAAGGTTTATAGAAAAAGCAAATGAATGGACCTTAACAGACAGTATGTGCCTTTACTGGATTACATTAGTAATCTAAGACAAAACCTCCGAAAAATTTTAACACCCTTGAAACACGAAGAAGGAAAATACTTTTCAAATAAAAATAAACCATTTGTACAATTTTTCTACTTGGTGAACTTAAAAACCAACTTAGAAACATTATATCTTACTTACAAATTGAGATCGTATCTCAAATAAACCAATGAATAATAAAATGTCTTTCAGAAATATCAAAAGTCTAAGTCAGATAAATCAAGTTTTTTTTTCTTTCATTTACTATGTTATTTGGGTTTTTACAGTATAGAATGAAAAGCTAACAAAATGTAATCCATTAAAGATTGTTGCTTAGATAATGCTCATGCAATTACTTTTGCAGCTGTAAAGCATAAAACTAGTATTGCCTATGGCTACAGGCAGCCCTGCAGAATTATGAATTGAAGACTTTTTTCTCTATTCTATAAAAGCAACTTTCTTCCTTGTACATGTCCTGAACATTTTCTTTTGAGGGAAAATAGTATGTGTCACATTATAAAATGGCATGAACTTTTAGTTAAATTATCCAATTTTCTTTTTTTGTTTTTTTTTTTAAGATTTTATTTATTTGAGAGAGAGAGAGCGAGCGTGAGAGAGAGCAAGAGAGCCGGGGGGCGGGGGGAAGGGGAGGGGGAGAGGGAAAAGCAGGCTCCTTACTGAGCAGAGAGCCCAACGTGGGCTGATATGATAGTGTGGTGCGATCCCAGGACTCCAGGATCATGACCTGAGCCGGAGGCAGACGCTTCACCGACTGAGCCACCCAGGCAACCCTCCAATTTTCTTAACTCATGTATATATTTAAGTAATTAAAAATTGAGTTCAAATGATTGGCAGCATTTTGGCAGAAAAACCAATGGCATCCGTAAGTATTCTCAAATGCAGTTCATTTTTCTTAAAAAAAAAAATCTTTCCTTCTCTAACAAATCAAAATGCGTATTTTGATAGTTATGAAACAGTGTGAATATTATGAAATTCTAAAATCTGGAACTAACTTTTGAAAAGAAGATTTGATATCAATTTGAAAAAGAATAATATATATATATATAATGTATCCAAGTAGATATCACCTAAAAAGTTATTAAACAAACCACTGTTCATCCTAACATTACATTTCCTCCACATTTATGTAATGTTTTATATTCACAGGTTGGTACACAGAATTTGGCTCAACCACTTCTCACTCTTTTCCATTCTGTTAAATTAGAAAAAAAAAAAAACAATAACCACAAACATAAGCTTCATTGAATCTTTGAATCTCCCTAGTTTTTTTGTTTGAAAAAAATACTTGACTAAGATTTATCCTTTTAAACAAAACAAAACATAAAATCATTGGTCTTTCTGAAAAGTGATACACCAATTTCAATATAATTCCCAAAATAGGTAAACATGTTTTCAGAAAAGGATTCTAAAATTTAGTGTTGACTTTGCAATCTATTTGGGTAATGTTGAGAAAAGGGGGGTAACAGGAAAAAAAAGTTAAACAGAAAATGTTTCAAGTATTATGGAGACGTTAATATTTATAACACTCCTTTAGAACCCTCTGGGAAATTTTAGAACTGAATAAAACATAAAATTATAGAACAGGCACTGGTCTTTGACAACGTCTAATCCATCCCATAAAGAGAGGCAACTGAGTCCCAAGAAACTTTGTCACTAGCTTGAGTTATTTGTCGGGAAGAGACCAGAAGAAAACAGAGTTATCCCCATTACCAGTGCAGTGCATTTTTCTTAACAGGTTAACATTTTACTATAAAATGCCATTTACCTATCTCATCAGTTATATTTCCAACAAATCCACTCCATTATTGCAGAAGGCCTGACAGTGACTATAGATCAGTGCACTGCAGTCTTAAGACTACCCAGTTTTGGTAAGGCTCAAGTGCTCCTAGAATTAATTTTTTTTTTTTAAAGATTTTATTTATTTATTTGAGACAGAGAGAATGAGAGAGAGAGAGTACATGAGAGGGAGGAGGGTCAGAGGGAGAAGCAGACTCCCTGCCAAGCAGGGAGCCCGATGCGGGACTCGATCCCGGGACTCCAGGATCATGACCTGAGCCGAAGGCAGTCGCTTAACCAACTGAGCCACCCAGGCGCCCGCTCCTAGAATTAATTTTGTTCCCTAATCATGTGGTGAACATCTGTGAACCACAATGCCTTCTGCTTCATGAATCATAGAATTCTGGTTCAGTTAGGGGCCTAAGAGATGGGTGATCCAAACTTTTTCTTTTAGAAATTAAATAATCTAAGGCTCCTCAGAGAGGAGAGGAGCATGTCACATAAATAATAACAGTGTTAATGTGAGCAATGAAATAATAATGCTAGCAATGGCCGACATTTACTGAACATTTGCTATGTAAGGAACCACACCAAATATCCACTCACTTAGTCCCCATGATAAGGTTAGGACAATGTGAATTTATTAGTTTCATTTTAAGAATAAGTAATCTGTAAAGATTTAGCAGCAGTGCTAGAATACAAGTCCTTGTCTACCAAGGACTCTGCTCTATCAATTTGCCCACCTATCTGGTCTTATCTGAATACAGTGTTCACAGTTCTAACCACATAGATATCAACGATATAATTAATATCTAGCCTCTTTCCATTGGAACAGAAGTTGAATGAGAACTTTCTCTTCTGACAGTCAAGTGACTCTCTGAATATTTCCTGCATTCTTGTGTTTTCTCAGATTTTTCCATGTTTGGAAGACGCCACTTCAAACTTCCAGTGGTATGTTGAGAATTAGAACTCATCATTCAGATTAGTATGTTGTGCTAGCTCTTCTCAGTAATTTGCTTTTATTACAACAATAAAATGACTAAAAAACTGGTACGATAATAAGTGTTTTAATTAAATATAAGCATTTTAATTAGAAGTAGGTATCTTGGGAAAAAAA